ACTTATAATATGGTATGATATGATAATGATAATATGGTATGATATGATAATTTCACTTGATATAATCACTGAAAACAAGTAAAAATGTCTAGAAATAAGCGAAACGTACAGCAATCTCAAAATGAGAAATATTAGAAGTATCGAAAACAGGAGTTAAAAAAAATCCATCTATCTAAACATGGTTATTTTTCTCTCAAACAAAATAGCTTTGTGTTTGTTAGCGACATTAGCCTTGTAGCTCCAGTGTTAAAACTAAAGAAGCAGAATTAGTCTTGCTGTGACGCAGCAACAGAATTCAGACGCTTGCGGATGAAAAGTGCCAACAGTGTTTTATTATCAGGTGACAAAAGCGTGGTAGAAAAACAAGCGTGTGTCTTGATCAAAAGGCAGCAGAAGATCACCGAAGTGATCATAACACAGGGCAGACAAAAACCAAGGGGAAAGTCGAAATCGTTGTCAAAAAGGCAGGCAGAAAGGTCAAAACACAAATCCAATACAGAATCAGCAGAGGTACAAAAGGAGTAGGCAAAAATCAAGGTCAATATAACAAACGTGGGTCGAAAAACAAGCACTCATAAACAGATCAGAAAACGCTCAGTAAGTTCCGGAGAAGCAACACCTCGCAAATACCCTAACTAAAGCCCGGGCTGATATACTATTCTCTGAGAGTCATATGATTCACAACACAGGTGTTCATAGTCAATATTCAGGTGATTGTGAACGCTGACAGGTGCGTGAACGATTGTCATGAGTCATGTGATCACCCAAGGGATTATGGGCAATGGAGTCCGCTCTGGACTCCGAGTCCAAGAGAAGTTGCTCATCCACGTGATTTCCCAGGTCCTTCTGGGAAACGTAGTCCAAATCCGCCCGAGGCGTGACACTTGTCAGCGTCTGAGGGCTGGAATGTGATGTGAAGTGAGATTATGACCTCCTACACTGTTGATTCAGGCTGTGGTGTTTTTGCGAAAGTCTGCTCTAATGTGCTTTAAACTCTTAACCAAAGTGAAATTAAAACTTTACTGAAGCCTGAGATGGAAAGTCCCACTGAATAATTGGGCAGCGATTTGATATTCAGTCATTAAAATGATGACACATCAAAGAATTTTGTGTTATCACATGGAAACAGATGGAGGGGAGTAAAGAAATTTACCTGTCTTTGCAGAAGTGCACATATTTTTGTCAATAACTGAGGTTTAAAGGGAGGAACGGTTTAAACAAATCTGGTGCTTTCTGTGAATCTGAATAGTATATTGATATATAATTTAATCTTGTCAGCTGCTTTTCACTGGAGCCTTTATAAATGTGTGAATATATATATATAGCTTATGAAGCGAGTGTGAAAACAATAAACATAATCGCTTAAAGTGGGAAAAGGGGTCAACTCAAACATTTTTTTTCTGTTTCTGCTTAGAGTGTGGGGACTTTTTCCACTACGTGGACTACAGTGTAATCTGAAAAATTACTCTTTTAGAAATTAAACTGTGTGTATAAGCTATATAATCCAACCCAACTAATACACTCCTGCATCGTTTATGTAGCACCTTTCCTTATAGCTCACTTCAAATTTAAAGTGCTTTTAAGAACCAAAGAACATTAACTGCACTCCAGGAAGCATTTTTTAGCCTAGGCTTAAAAGGCAATTTCACAAAACGAACATATTTTCTGAGTAGTTCAGAGTGGTAGAGTGGTTTGGTGTGAAATGGTTACAGTGGTGGTGATAGGAACCAGAGGTCACCATGACTACAACACAAATATAAAAATTTTATTTACTATCCAAAACCACCAGTGAACCTACACATGTCTTCTGAGTTTTATATGGAATGTTGATGATGGGAAAATAGTGGAAAATCTGAAATAATAAGTTTCTTTGGGGACTATTTTGCCTCACAGCACCCTACATGTATCCCTCCACCATGAATGGATTTTAAATAATACATTTTAGGCCAAAAAATCTTCTCAAAATTGACGTAAATCAATGTCTCAGACATCAGGCAGTGAATTCATAACCATTTCATGTAATAACTGTCTGTGAGAGCTTTTAGAGGTGGAAGCGTGGTTCCTGTCACCACCTCCTATTCTCTAGAAAGGAGCATCTCACAACAAACCACTCTGAATGACTCACAATGTTCACATCTCAACCACTTAATTATGCAAAAAAATTAAACATGTGGAATTTAAACATTAAGTCGTGGTTTCCTTTTAGAGGATTAAATCTAATCTTGGACTAAACTTCAGTGTCAAAAGAGATTTACCATTGGAATTTCTCTAGACTTAATCTGGGTCTAGAAAATGGGCCTTTTATTAACTTTCTTTGCACCAGAGTCCAGAAGATGGTAGTTAAGCACTAAACTGAAACACAAACGAAGCTCTTGTGGTTGTCAGTACTACATCAAAACCAAACTGTTGTGCTTGCTAGATTTATCCACTGCATTTATAGTAAACTGTCTCTTCTGGTACGCAGTAATGACACTGAATCTGTAACACCAAAACCTACCAGTGCTGTTATTTAGCCAGTATAGAGAGAAAACACCCACACTTTACAGGGTCCATATCGTGGAAGAGAGCCTGTTTAATTCTAACGGGATTCATAGAAGTTGAAAAAAGAATGATGACTGTTTTGGTGCATAAAACCTCACAATCATAATAGGTGGACCTCAGGGAGAAGAAATAAAAAGCAGGGAAATGTAGGGTATGGGCCCTTTAATGAACTACTTTAAAGGTTCTGCCTTGTGTTTTAAAGAGAACCTGACTGTATTTTATTTTTCTAAGACATTGTTTCTAATCATTGTTAATATTGTAATTGTTTTCTTGGAGTTTCTTACGTTTTGTGTTTTATTTACAGATCTATGGTACAAAATTACTGTAACAGTTTAATGTGAAATAAATACACTTTATATGAAACTTCTTGTGTGCTGTGTTTTTTTAACAAATACAGCCATTTCAGTAAATAAAATGTCTATATTTGTGTTGTAGTCATGGCGACCCCTGGTTTCTATCACCACCACTGTAAAGAAATCTGAACCATTTGACACCAAACCACTCTGAAGTTATGAAAGAATTTTGAAAAATCGGTGGAGTGTAACTGCTGAAGAATCTAAATTCTAAAGAATCACAGATTTGATGAAAACCCTTTTATGAGAGATGCAAATATTTGACTATATTGGGTGCGTGTGTGTGTGTGTGTGTGTGTGTGTGTGTGTGTGTGTGTGTGTATACAGCACTGTGCAAAAGACACTAATCACCCTTTGTTTATTTAATTTCAAGTTAAAATGGACATTTAATACAAATTATTCATTTTTCAGAAGATATTTCTAAGAAGAGTAGATATAAATGGCAACAAAGTAATTATAAATCTAGTCAATTTATCTAATACTTCTCATTTTGAGATTGTTTTAAATAAAAAATATTATTTAACTTATTTCTAGACATTTTTACTTGTTTTAAGTCTAATCGTTGGCAGGTTGTAAGGTTGTAAGTAATGTTGCTTGTTGTAAGAAACATGCTTGAACCAAACATTATCTACCAACACAGTGAGAGAATTTCATACATACATCTTCTAAACCACTTATCCTTCTGGGTCACAGTGGGGTGCTGGAGCCTAAACCAGCTGTCATTGGGCGAAAGGCAGGATACACCCTGGACAGGTCGCCAGTCCATCGCAGGGCAGACAGACATACACATTCACACACACACTCACACCTAGGGGCAATTTTAGCACGTCCAATTGGCCTAACTGCATGTCTTTGGACTGTGGGAGGAAACCCACGCAGACATGGGGAGAACATGCAAACTCTACACAGAAATGACCCTGGTCGCCCGGCCGGGAATTGAACCCAGGCCATTCTTGCTGTGAGGCGACAGCGCTACCCACTGCACCACCGTGCCGCCCTAGTGAGAGAATTTCATTTGACAAAATTACAAGACAACATGTCTTGAAATGAGTCAAATAAGCTTAGAATAAACAGACAGCAATCTCAAAATGAAAAAAGGATATATATTGACTAGATTTAAGATCATTTCATTTGACAAAATACCTTTTTTTTCCAGTATAAGACAGTCGACCTACATAAGGAAGAAAGTTAAAAAAAGATATAAAACTGAAGGTCAAAAACTGATTAAAAGCTACAAAGAAAATGAGACTCATAACAACCACCTGGAAGACCTGGTAGACACCTAAACTGCCCCCATCGTCTTAACAGCACTTATAGCTTTCATCTCTGAGAGGGAGGGGAAAATCAAGCTGCTTCAGATCTGAAAACGTCCACAGTGTTTCTGTCCATCCTTCCACTGTGAGAAGACAACTCAGCACTATGGGTATGAAAGGATGTGTAGCTGTCAAGAAGAACCTCACTGAGAAAAGGAGACACATCAAACAAAGAAGCTGAACAATGGACTGACCACCCCCAGAGTCCAGATCTCAACATCACTGAATGTGTTTGGGTTACTTCTAAGACTGAACTTTAGAGGTGTGTCTGCAGATTCTTTGAGATTTACATAGAATCTATGCAGCTTAAAATGACTATAAAGTTCAAATATAACATTGACACAGCTTCTGTAGCAGCTGCCCATACTGACAGTTATTCGCTTATTTTGGCATGTTCAGTATGTGAAAATGTTCTGGTAACCTCAGTGTCTCAGTTACTGTTCATAACATTGATGAAAAGTATTGTTTATTGTGGAAACATTTTTTTGGAAAATCACAGAGCTAAATATACCCATGTATGTATGTATGGAATATCTTATGGTTTTAATGGCTGTTTTGTAAATTCTGAGGTAAAAGGCCAACATTATTTTGAAATAATCCAGCCCTCTTTAAAATAAAAATAATAAAAAAAAAAACTGTTGAAGCGTGTATGTTTTTTAAAAAATAAAAAGACAACCGCCCTCCGATTCGGACGCACAAAGCTTCGAGTCGACTCCCCATGGTGGCTGACAAGACCGTATTCCCGAATGCATGGAATCGAGGAATCGATTCTTTTCTGTGATCGACTCCCAGCCTTACGGTCCAGTAAGCAGCGGAAATAGACCCAGCAACTGGTTCGCCAGAAGAACCGCAAGAAAAACCACGAAAAGAAGAGAAAGAGGAGGAAAAGGAAGCAGAAAAAGGTAAGAAAAGCAGTAAAGTTATCTGCTGATGGGGACTCAGAGTTCTGTCACTCTGTAATGCAGTAAAGTACAGCTGCGGATAAGGGCGCATTCTGAGAGTCCTGCTTTATGAGTTTATAGTATTACTGCAGGGTGGGAAACCTCCAGATGCAACCCATTCACTTCTGCACACGAACACGACCTGTACTACACTGATTTTGTGCACGAATTAAAAAAGTAAACAACGTGCGTTCAGTTAAAAATGAAACGAGAGAACGAATGAGAAAATTGTGATCACGAAGAAAAAAACGTACCCACGAAGTAAAGAAAACGTGCGCACGTTTAAAAGAAAACGAGGGAACGATTTAAGAAATCGTGACCACAAATAAAAGAAAACGTGCGTACGAACTGCAAAACGTTCGCGCGAATTAATAATTTTTTTACCTCCGTCCTCTCCGGGGCTCCATAAACGCGGGAACAGATCACGATGTCCATTTGATTTTTAAATCATCTAAAATGTAGAGTAGTGAATGGTTTAGATCCGAGTTTGATCCACAGCCTAATGTAATTCTTTCCCATTAAGATTTCATGTTAAATGTCTGAAAGTGGATGTGCATTTGTGTGAATATTGAAATGATTCATTCTACCAGTGCTTTGCTCTTTTATGTCGACTGAACCCAAAGCTGATCTGTGCAGATTTGCTTTTTCAGATAAAAATGAAGTACAATCAGTTAATTTATAGATGGAGGTCTGAGCTGTCTGTTTCTTGGACCAATGAATGTCAGAGAGGCCGATATTCGCTTATATTAATATATATTACATTTTTAGAAGATCCAGGCTGACAGTGAGAGCCAGCCTGGCCTGAGAATGGTGTCTTTCCCTTTTCTGTGTGCTGTTCTGTGCTGAGTTTAATGAAGTTATGGACCGACATTTTATCCCAGATAGCAGGCACATTTGGGTCTAATCTGTACCACTTTCGGCACATATGGTTCAGTTAGGCACTGGCAAGTGTTGTGTGGGCCGAATGTGGGCCAAATGTCATGAGCAGGGCTACACTTGGGTTGTGGCATGTGTTGTGTGGGCCAGACATTAATGTCGCGAAGTTCTGCGGCATTGAATGTTTGTTGCTTGGGTAATCCACAGGACAATAAAAGAAGACCAAATGACAGTCATTTTGAAGCACCTTGGTACTGGAGTTGTGGACCCAACCACTAACAAAAAGTTTGTATGCCTCAAGGGTTTTGAATGCTTTCATTTGCTTTCTTAAGTAGAAGGATGTTTGGAGGAGGTAGTTGCTTATCTACTGCCTCGATAAAGGCAAGATTTTCAGTTCAGTTTAAAAGTCGCTCACTTCATAACAAAAGGATCATGTTTAACATATGGTCTCTTGTAATATCGTATAAACTAGCACAGTGTGGGCTGGCCTGCATCTTATCCATTCTGCTTTTCACCTCCTGCCCTCCTTCGGGATTTTACGTGTGATCAGAATCACGTGTCTGCAGACAACGTATTAGAGATTGTAGTCTGTTATCTGTTTCTCTGCATAATTTGTTTACTCCTTCAACAGTGATCAGGACCACAGGATAGGTATCATTTTGGAAGTGGCTTCCTTCTCAGCACTGCAGTGATATTGACATGGTAGTGGTATGTTATTGAGGGTTGTATTGGTACAACTGGATCAGACACAGCAGTGCCCAATTACATACCTACCTTGTTAGTCTTTTTAGAGGTAAAGTTAGAGATGTAAGCTCATCTGTTGCTGCCCAGTTTTTTAGATATTTTCTAGTCCTTCATCCGTGCCTATAGGACACTGTTGGCTGGAAATTTATTCTCAGTCCAGCAAAAACACTTAAGCGTTTAAAGACTCAAGTAACACTACGGTGTTACTCTGTGCAACACCACACAAATTACCATGTCACCATCACTGACATCACCACTATCCAAACCTGCTCTGTGGGGGTCCTGACCATTGAAGAACAGGGTAAGAAAGTATGCTGAGAAACAGAAGGACTACAGTCTGTAACTGTAGAAGTACAAAGTTTTCCTGAATGATAAGTGGAGCTGATAAAATGGACAGTGAGTTTAAATACAGTGTAGCTGTACATAAAGTGGCCTATGAGTGTATGCATATAATCAAGCACAATGGTGTACCACACACTCAACTTTTATTTTGTATTTTTCTTTAACTGTTTATTGGTATATGGTAACTATTACCTATATACTTGCTATTCCACTCATTTTGTCCGTGTAAGTTCTATATTTTTTTGTAAGACAATTAAAGTTGTTGTTTCCAAATGATTTCTTGTGTTGTCATTGAAATTCATGTATGCATACAGGTGAGCTTTAAGAATCGGTGAGTTTTACAAAGTAATACAGTACATACTGGCTTAATACATGATAATGTGCATCATGTTCTTAAAACTACAGTAGACTGTTGATTGTTCAGCTGTGTCCACTTATGTTAATTCACTTTTGAAAAACGAACCAAAATTAAAAGGTGATTTAACCTTGATTCACAACATTGACTCAACCATAAATAAACATTGAAATGCTGGCTGGGGTGCCTGACATACAGCCCATAACATGGTAATTTTGTCTAGCCCATAACATGGCCGATGCAGGGTAAGTGTACGGTATGGCCCTGCTCTGTCACACATCTGGCCCATTTAAGGTGAAGCTGAGTTTACCCAGATTTAGCCCAGACATGGCCCAGTAATGTGAGCATATGGTAAATTTATTTGGCCTGGATTTGGCCCATATTTGGTGGACCTGTGGCTGAGTTGAGGCTCACCCTGAGTCAACGGCATACATCAAGGCCAAATGTGAACCATAACAGAACTGCAGTTGTGGGCCACATTTGGGCCAAAATTTCATTGTTTCCATTGCATAAACATTTCATAGCATTGACATAAGCACAGAGTTTAATTTCAACACAAATTGTCGTGAGGGGAAAGACCGACCCATTTGCAGTTAAGACAGACCCATTCAAAGCTGAGACAACCTATTTGGAGCAAAGACTGGACCATTCGGAGCTAAGACCGACCCATTTGGAGTCAAGACTGACTGCTGAGGTTGGTGCAATCATCACAGAGAAAATGATATGTTTAGATGTTAAAATTGTCAGAGCAGGTATTATCACAGACTGTTTTTCATGTCTGTAAACATATATATAAGACTAAGCACAGAAAACAGTCCAGTCAGAGCAATTTTTATTAACCTTCAGGAATTATGAGAATTTTTAGGAACCAGTTTGTCCAAACTACAGTTATGATGTTAATGAAAATGTACAGTAATTATGAAACATAACATTAGTGACTTGTCCTATGTCATGTTAGAAATAAAGCTTGCCTGTTGGAACCAAACCTCATATATCAGCTATGGTAATTTTTCAGGAAAAGCAGGAGGAGAAAGTAAGCTAAATTTGTGATACAAGTCAAGATAATGAGATTTACTACCAAGTAATTCTGGACTGTTTCTGTTCATCATGAATGTAAAGAACAGCTGGACCTATGTTTTGATCTGATGGAGACACTAAATTTGTTTTCTTTTAAGTGAATTTCTCTGTATTATGTCTCCACATCACTTCCCATCACCTTCTACTGAAGATCCTCCAAGATCTGCGGTGCTTTTCTGTGGTTTGTGGTGTAGTTTCTGATGAACGGTGGTCACACTAAAGTATTAAAATGCCTATTATTGTTATTTCTGTCTCTTCTCTTCAGATCATGGCTGTGGAGGCTGTTCTGCTGATCATTCTGATGTCTTTCTTTCTGGGAAACACTCAGCAGAGTGGTGAGTCAGAAGATCCCAGTATTTACTCTGATTGCTAAAGCTCACTGAAATGAGCTCTTACAGGGTCAGATGTACAAACATTAGATGGCACAGCACAAAATACACTCACACTGCATCTGAGATTAAATAGAATTTCAGAACGTTTCAAAATCTATGTATAATTCAGTGTGTGAGAGAATCTCAAATAATCTTTGGGGATTATTTTGCCTCAAAATGCTGGGCATGTATCCCTCCACCATGAATGGATTTAAAAATACATTTTAGGTCAAAATCTTTTTAAAACTATCATAAAACAATGTCTGAAACATCAGACTGGCTGAATGAATCCATTTGAGCCTAAAAAACTGGCGCCTAACGCCCATCTGGCCCTCAGTGTCCATGCTGATGTCCAGAACATAATTCGTTATGATGATAACTCTTCATGAGAGGTTCATTGTTCTTGATTTTGTTGTCATGGCACATTTAACCATGTTTGTGCTTTTGTTTAATGTGTTTAAACAGTGCTGATCAGTATGGAATGCCAGCCTGCAGTTGGAGTTGTTGGGCAGACCACAAACATCTCCTGCTCTTTCAAGAGGAACTTTGGAGCAGATCAGAAAATTATTATTTCTGCAGGGGCTGTAACTAAGAGAGGAGAGACAGAACCACTGTTCTGGTTTAAGAATAATACAGTAGACGGAGATAATCGATTTAAACTTCTTTCTAAAAATGATCCATCTTTACTGCTCAGTAGCACTGCTGTCTCTGATGAAGGTCTGTATGATTACACTGTTGTAAACAATCGTGGCATAATAGAAGACGGAACATTCAGGATCAGCGTTACAGGTGAGAGTCGGTCATGTTTAACATCTTTTTATGAACGAGTGCTCAGGATGATACAATAAGTGAAAAATGCGTCATCATATAAATCTTGCTGTTTTTTGTTAGATCATTTGAAAAATATTTGAGGAAGATGAATCATTTATACAAATAACGTAATGTGTTATACAGTTTAAGCAGTCTCTACAACTCTTATAAAATTTATTTTTTACTGATTTCTTCTGATCATCTGCATTAGCAGACAAACAAACAGTTAACCCTCGCCAGAGGGACGAACTGTAACATTTGCCACAAGCATCTGGTCAATCAATGCAAACATAATTAATTTACTTTAATTTTAACTCTAAATTGTCTGAACTGGACAAGCTTTCCAACCAAAATACATATAAATATGTTTATCAAAATAGATAAGTTTAGCTCAAACGACACTCAAACACTGACACATTTATTTTTGGCCACAAAATAGAACAGCAAATATCATCATATCATAAAAGTGAAATATATTTTATTTACATCTGGAGTGTGTTTCTGATGAATCTGTAAATAAGCTTATTTATTTGAGCGTATATGAGGATATGGAGCTCTCTGATTGTTCGCTTTGGAGGGCTTAGCTAACAGTGTGTTAAATTTGTGTCTTTTCTTTAGTGAAGGCAGTGTGTAAATCGAGTATCTGCTCCAATCTCTGTCTTTTATATTTTTATTTCATGCAAAGTGGACATAAACATTACAGATGTCTTAAGATAAATTAGCAAGTAGTAGTAGGCAAAATACAAATAATGCTGCGTACAGGCTACAAGCGACCTAATGCTTCTTGAAGTGAAGCATGAAAGTCATGTATGAGCTGCATTAGTTTTACCAGAGGAGGTTGTAATCTGTACGTGATTTGACTGAATTGTACAGGATGAAAGATCTGTGTGATTTCCCAAAATTACCCCAAATAGCCCAGTTGGAAGCACCATCACCAAAAATGCTGTGGATTTCAGTAGCCTTGTCATGAAGGATTTAAAAGCCTCACTTCAGCAGTTAGCCTCATCTTCAGGTTGCAGAAAATTTTAAAAAATGAAAGCACTGTTTTACATTTTTATACCTGGTTTCATTACATGACTCTGATGTCAGTTTGAACAGGACTGCTATTACTGTGAGAGCTAATGTTGCTCCCAAATTATTAGTTAACAGGCCTGTAAAACCTACAGACATGGCAGATTCATACTGGATTATAATCACAGAATCACAGATTCTGTTGGCGTTCACTCAAATTACAGCATCTCCCCAGATAAACTAATCCAGCTCCAGTGGGGCTTTAGTCTGCTATTAAACTTCAAGACTGTTATACACCAACGCCAGATACACAAACGCCTCTAAACTACCACACTGGACAAAGCCTGCTGGTTCGTTTGGGGCATTTTGACACCTTGTAAATCTGCCAACGTTCGGGGGAAAAATGTTGGTATGGCAAAAATTACATTAGTCCTACATGATAAATAACTAGGACTGGCCTGAATAGCATTTTACAGTCTTTGAATACTTCTTATTGAGTTCAAACAAGTTAATACGTTTGTTTTTAATCAAAATATTGCAGTTTTTGATTTGTGAAAAACAGTTTTATACCTTTTATGTGTCCCGTTTTACTCTGGAGGCCTTAAAGATGCTGAGAGACAGATGTTGTAATGTTACTTCAGACAAATGAGTCGTACTGGATTTCTGCTCACCTAGACAGCAGCACTGATACAGAAGCTCAAGATGTAAATCTTTTAAATTCTCTGTTTAGTGACATGTTTTCCTCTTAAGCTGAATGGAGACAACTACATATCGCTGTTGTCTAAAGAAAACCTTATATCTCCATTTTTGTTGTTGTTTTAGTTTTTGACATAATTCGAAAATAATGTTGCCTTTACATTGTGTGTAAATTTCATGATGAATGGACTAAAAGAAATGGCCAAATGGTCTGTTTGTATTGACTTTCATTAAAAGTAAAAGATGTTTTTTCGTTCTCCTGTACAGTTACCATTTTGGAGATACAAGGTTTTCTTCCGACAACAGTGATATGCTATTGCTAACACAGGGCTAGAGGTTCAGATCTGTTGTGAGTGAAATAACTTCAATAGTCAAGCATATTAATTGATGATTAAGTGAGTTATTTGAATTACTAAATTCATATGGAATTACAGCTATTCATATCTTATAGGGACGAGCTAAACTGATTAGTTAGCCTGCTAACTAACTCTGTAGTCGCTAAACAAGTAACTGAGGATGCTCAGCTTCTTCGCAAGGACAGTCAAAACTACAGCCAAACAAATGTTTTTTAATATATTTAAATCTTTTAATATCTTTTACTATTTTTATCTTACTTGATTCTTTGGAAGAAAAGAAGGGAAAATCGTAGGGGCGTGGCTGAGCTCAGACTTTAGCTAATGTTACCTGGGTATGATGTGACTTTTATAGCCTAAAATCACGTCCACAGTTAAAGCAGCACTATGTAGTATTACAGAGTATGGAGAAAAGACCACAGTAAAATATGCTGAGCGTGCGCCGCTGCAAGTTGCCTGAAATCATCATTTACAAGTCAGAGGTCCCAGGACGGATTAGGCAGGAGTTTTTATGTACTAACGTCATGCGCACAGACGCAAAAAGAAGGTCTGGCTCGATGTTTAGGTCTCAAATCATAGATGTCAAAATCAAAATGATACTAATGCAGATGTGATGACAATAGTAGATAATTCACTCACTTCCTCCGAAGATGTGTCTTTCACCAAGTTTAGACTGAGTTCTCTTCGAATTTTCTTTCAGCACTCGCAAAAGTCAGATTCATCCGCTTGAGTGGGTCTGAAGCACAACCAACGTTACAAAAAGTTCTTCCACACGTTGTGTGCAGTTACATATTTCCACCAATAAGGTCTCTAAATCTCCATATCCTACATAGTGTTGCTTTAAGTTACTGCCATTTTTTCCAGGTTTTATGATAGAATATATTATTTAAAACAGTAATAAATAAACTGCTAACTCTGAAAACTGTCATTAATCCACAAGTGTGATTGAGAATTCTGTTGAGGAAACTTCCAAATACTTCTAAACTTCTAAATAAGGAAATAAACACTAACATAATGAACGAATACTCAATTTTTCATATTTTTGGACCAGCTCTACAAGTAACATATCCACAGTGCCTGAAAGTTCTGGTTGGGAAACGGATGTGTTGTTATTTAATGTTTTGGCAAATTTGGCTTCATAATCACCACCTGAAAAGCTGTTATTGTTAAAATCCATAAAATCCTTAAAATCTGGTTGGATTTTATGGACATAAAATGAATTGCTAGTTGAACATCGCTGTGACACTTTTTAACTGGTTTACCCTTTATCAGTGGTGTGTGATACTGCAAAATTTGGTATCGATCTGATTACAATACCAACGTGGGTATCGATACTATCGATATTTGGATCGATCCACCTGCCCATACCCTTTATATTTTCTGTAACTGGACATATTCTGCCATCGCTACAGTAGGCTGAGTAAGTTAGCAGAAAGTTAACTGGCTAACACACCAACAATAAAAGACAAACTTCAAACTCAAGATGTTCAAAGTAAAGAATGTATTACTTACATGTTACGAGCTTGAAATGTCTTTATTTAAACTAGAACTGACATCAAATTCCCACACAACGCTGAGCTAACCCTGTTAGCTTGGTGCTAACATCATACGAGGAGCATTATCTTATTTTAAAAAACATATGAGGGTGAACAGATTTCTACATTAAATGTAATAATGTAAAAGTTCTATGACAGTGGTTCTCAATCCTGGTCCTAGACTAACGCTCCCCTTCCTTCAACATTCCTGCAAGTAAAGATTAAATTAAGCAGTTCTTGAGGAGAACTGGGTGTATAAGAGCAGGAAGAACAAAACCACATGCAGGACCGTGACTGAGAACCACTATTTAATACCAATTCAAGGGCTACACAGTCTTTTAACAGAACTCGCTTAAAACTGCATGTATTTCCTCTGTTTAGCCAAGTACAACCCACCGTTCATCAGCACATGGCCAGAAAAGATTGAAGAGGGCGGCCCTGCTGACCTTTACTGCAACGCTAGTGGTGGCTATCCAGCAGGAGCCATTCACTGGTTTGACAGCACCAACACCAACTGGACAAAGAGCGCCACACTGAAGATCACAGAGAGAGAGGACAAACTGGTACATCTGTCCAGCAATCTGACCTTCACCAGCATCGACTCAAGCTGGGCGCCCTTCAGGTGTGTCGTTCTCAACAGCAAATTCATCCAAGAAGGAGAGACCACGTCCCATCTGAAGTTTACAGGTAACTTATTTCTTTCAGGAAGGTCTAGCAGGAATTGTTACGTGAGGTTTGAAAATGAAATGGTGGTGTGAGTTGATTTGTTTTTACCTCTTCAGGCTCTGCCCACAGGCTTTAAATGTAGGTATTGGGACTATATTACATATACATGTTACACCTCTGGTAGGATGGGGGGGCTTCTGTAGTGGGTCTGACTCCAGAAAAGGAGCAGCACTGGATCGGAAATGGAGGCGCCCCATTGTTTCAGAAACATCATACAGACATCTTCAGAGATAATGCTCCCCAGTAAAAAGGAAAAATCTTCCAATAGTGGGAATGTCCTGACTCTCCTGATCCTCCTGGAGAAACACACTCACATTCGTAAATGATGTAATTATCAAAAAACTGCATGATTGTGAAGATATTCCACAGAGAACCTGTAATGTTCAGCAGCTCTAAATATCCTCTGATAATCCATCCAGGACCAGCAAGAGGAAGCAGATGTTCACATGAAAAAAATTCTGCTTAAGAGAAATTAAAATGTTACTGAAAATGAGAAAGTTGGAGCTGGAAATTAAGAAAAAATTGGGAAAGAATAAATCAGAGTCATTTTAATAAGCTCCTTTTTTGCATAACAGGCTGAACAAAGTCACAAACAAAAATGGTTTTTTCTTTATGTTTTCCTCTTGTTAATAAAAATGCAATTGTTTTAAAATATGTGCCCCTCAAAGCTCCACCATGCATATGATCTGCTGCATTTGGTTAAATCTAATTACGTGATCAAGTTCAGGTTTTGAGTGTACACAAAAAAACTGTGCTAACTCCTCACAGTAGGCCAGAAAATACACACACAAGCATTACAGTTACATTTATGCAGTCAATAGTAACTAATATTTCAGGGGTCTGTAATATCTTTACACCGAATAAACCTCTGATTTAAATCACCTTTATGCAGTTAAAGACTTTTTATATCTTCTCCATATTCATTTATTAGCATATACTCATTTGTATTTGTTTTTTAATTGTAAGCTAATTAAAAAAAGTTAATATATCCCTAATTTCCTATTAGGCTGCTCAGTATGTTCATAATAAAATATTAGTACTAATATAGTACACTCTGTGTGCAGCAGTGTATAGAGGTGTAATGTTGTTTTAGAATATTGTTTTAACCCGGTGAGCCTATGACGTCACAAGGCTTGTCCAGTGGATCTGATCAGGCTACGCTAAGCCTCAACGGAGGAAGTTTGTCCAAAACCATAAGTTATCATTATAACTGAGCAGGGCTTAAAATTAGCTTCTGTTGTGGAACCCAAATTGATGGGGATTAGCCGAGCTTATTGAAATAAGCCTGGCTTATTGAGTTAGCTTAGCTTACCCCCCAGGTCTTGTGTATACATAGTCCTTGTATTTGCGTGTCTGTTTGTGAGGTCTTATGGTTGTGTTGGTGTTTTACTGTGTTGTGAATCTTAATTTCCTTGTACCCTGTAAAGAGTGAGTTTATTTTCTTGGGGCTTCACACTGCTGCACTTTCTGAAGGCTGCACTGAGCTGCGCTTCAGTAGCAGCTAGTGATAGCTAACTGGCTAGCTAAAATTAGCCAAAGTGATTGCTTGTTAAACATAGATAACATAACAAAACGATGAAAAACTTACCAAGTGCTGCACTGATCAGACCCCAGCTGTGCTGGCAAGCTATTGTTTTGATATGTACAGGCAAAAATTCTTACAGTTAACTAGCAAACGTGGTGCTGTTAGCAAAATCAAACTTAAAAAAGGCTGCTTATTGTTTATGCTAGAGGTCTGCGCTGAACTATTTTCAGTCCTGCTCCCGTTGAAATTATTTGTCCCGCTCCCGCCCGCAACCAAAAAGTTTTGGCCCACTCCCACCCATACAGTTCCGTCAAGGCGAACCAACATCCAATATCACAGTCTGTTCTCAAATACATTATTCTCTGCTGAAATAACAGGTTAGTCATGGTCATTAGGCTCCGCCATCTCTGTGAGCTACTAGAATCTATGTGTTGTTCACGTGATCTTTAGAATGACTTCATTCCTTTTAACTGTTTTACTGTTATCATTTTATATTGTTTATATATATGATTTAGTGAACGTATTACTTTATGCTGTTAATCCTGTTGTGGGATTTCTCTTCATACATGCTTCATCCGGCTTCTGCCTGAAGGCTGCATAAAAGAGCAAGGCAGCGTGTAAAACAGTGCATAATACACATCTCTCTCATTGAGTGTGTTTACATACACTCAATAATCTGATAAAAGCAGAAAATCGGATTTTGTCAGTAATCTAATAAACATGTTTACATGCACTTTCATTTTAGTTCGTTTTTTCAGTGAACAGTTTTGATTTAGTTTTCATGTTTTAAAAAACTGATGTTTTTATTTTTATAGCAGTGAATGAGCACATTTTTCTCTGATAGTTTTCATTTTAGTAATAGTTTTGTTTTACTATAACTCTAATAACACTGATATTCGTAACCAATGAAGGATTTTTAATTTTGGCTGGAGTGCCGCTTTAACAATTCGACACAGTTTGAGGTGAGTGTGTCATGATTTGGTCATGCTGTTTGCGCAATACTAATTACAAGCTCACATTACTAACAGCCTCTAAACAAGTTCTGGTTTGTTGACTGTGTTTATGATGAGGGGGAATGTTGGGTTAACTTGATTTTTTGGCAGCTTTAAATACCAAACACTCATGTTTGTATTCCACTCCACCTAAAATTGTTGCTGAAGACACATTATTGATTGAAGTTTTTGCACAGTGTCTAAAGAAGATCACTCTTTAATGCTGACTCAGAATTAAATTGGCTTTTATTTATTTTTATTTTTTTTCAGCTTCTCAAAGTCATTCAGGCTCTGAGCTAGGAACTGTTACTATTAGTGTGTTAGTCATTGGCCTCATCATCCTGGGACTTATAACAGCCTTCCTGTGCCACAGAAGACACGTTCAGCGTAAGTATCAGCAGCACCCAGAAAGAATGACTGTCACACAATCTTTTATTATAATAATTATAATTAATTAATTGTTTCTTTGATGTCACTAAAAATCAACACCTTTATATATCCACCTATTCAGCCTACAGCAGTTTAGCCCCGCCCACACACACTGATTTACATATATCAGTCTTCAAGCCACAGTAACAAAAACAGCCTGTTTAAATCTAAGGGATAAAGAGATGCTGGAAAATGGTCTGTTTTGGTACATAAAAGCACACAAACATTATAATTGGTTGTTATATCTTGAAAAAACTGTGAATTCAGTTTGGGTTTTAAGTTGAAGCAGTTTATCAGCAAGAAAAACACTGTTTAACTACACCTGCTGCAGTCTGTTTAATATTTGACTACATTAAATTATTTTTAGCCAATATTATTGATTATTGGAATTTTGTCTCAGTATCATCTTGCTGCTAATGTCCATATTGGTCAGACTTCCGTACTGATTTTTAATTTTAGTAGTTGGGCTGTAATTTTACACCAGTTTTGTGCACTTATTTTAAAGACAGAAGTCAGGAGCCCTTCTACTGAACCTATTCTAAGTATGTTTCTCACACTAACTGGCCTCTTCACTAAAACCACCTCCTTGTATGAATACTCATTGTTCATTTTATCAGCTCCACTGACCATATAGTTTCATTTTGTAGTTCTACAGTTACAGACTGTAGTCCATCTGTTTCTCTGCATACTATGTTACCCTGTTCTTCAATGGTCAGGTCCCACACAAGACCCCCACAAAGCTGGTATTATTTGGGTAGTGGGTCATTCTCAGCACTGCAGTGACACTGACATCGCAGTGGTGTGTTAGTGTGTGTTGTGCTGGTGAGACTGGATCAAACACAGCAGTGCTTTTGTTATGTTTGGAGTGGAAAGTAAAGTTAAAATGGCTGCTGCAACGCTGGGGACTAGTGCACCTTTGAGTTTTATCTGGGCTCAGTGTTTGGGCCCTGCCTTCCCGCCAGCTCTCACAGCCATCATCAGGGCCCAGGGGACAAGTGCATGCCCCACACATCCTCTACAGAGAACACACTTCTGCACATTTTAATGCTCAATTACTGTTTATTTGCTGAATTTAACATTATTGGAAAAATGAAACAAAGTGCCCTGTGCAAATGTTATGGTACATTTTAATTTTTTAAATATATATACATTTAACTCAGCAAATAAATACACTAAAATGTGCATAAAAATGCCATGCCTAAGTTCTCTGTAGAGAATGTGTTATGCTTCTTTGTGCTTCTGCTTCTTTTCACTTACAACATCAGCAACAACATGGAATTTGACCAGGGTGCATAAACTGCTTACAACTGTGTGCGTGTGACATGAAGGAGGCATGCCAAATGACACTGCCATTGTCTGTCCTTTGTCAACTCTCTTCCCTTCCGCTGATCAAGGTCCAACCTCTTTCCGTCTGGACTTTCCAGCTTTGTAGATGGGACTGAAAGTGAAAACATGTCTGCTTCCACTGGAAAGTTTCAATGACCTGATTCACATTTAACACCAAAGTGCATTTTAATGGTGATTCACAGACATGTAAAATTCTCCTGAAAATGAAAATGAAACTAAGTATTCTTTTCTTTATGGTGTTTTCCTGTATGCGCCTAAGAAGATAATGCTCAGGCTGATGCGGATGCTAATGAAGCAGGTATTCTTCAGACTCCTGTTAAGCTGTTCAGAGTACCACTGAAACAGGCCTTCGCCTGCACAGATTCTCACATGCTTCATCTGATGGTTCTGTTCCTGTATTCACTATCAAGATGATATTTTAGCGTGTTCGAGAAATGTTTTTTTTATGGTAGTTTGAAAAATACTATTATTTTTCAGCCTTTTTTCAAGGAGTTATTCTGATAGAGACTCTTATTGTGAAGGCAGGGCTAGCTTTCCTTGGGGGCAAAAAACTGTCCTTTTGTACAGTGTACGGCAAAAACAGCTGGTTAATAAAAACTATGACTCGTGCAAAAGCTGTGTCCCATTTAATATCAGTATGTTTTATCCTCAACCTTTCTGTTCTTTAGATTTCTTTATTGCTCCATGATGATGTTAAGAGGGGTTCTTGATGTTAACCAAAGTGTTTTTGTTTGTTTTTCTCTGCAGGCAGTACACTGGAGCACAACAGAGAAGCTGAAACGAAGATGTTAAATTCACCACAGTCTTGAGGACATCGTTAAAGGAGAATTTCAACATTTTTCCAGCTTAATTTCTCTCTTTTGCGTCTGTAGGATACACTTAATTTCCATGGATAATAATTTATGCATTTCTATGTTGATACTAAACATACTTATAATAGAAGTCACAGTGCAGGTGCTGAAGCAAATTCCCATTGGCTTCTGTTATAAACCAAATGATAGTCTGTATTATAGACCAGCTTCCATTATTTTGCTAAGTACATTGAAGTGCATTTAAATTATTATTTGTGGCAATCAACACTACACTACAGATCTAGGAGAAAGAGAAAGAGAGAGAGAGAAATGTAGGAACTGGATGAAACACTGCTAGTTCCTAAGACTGAACTTCTATGATGTCGTCTCCCCCTCTGGGGAAACTACACTTGGGCTCTCCCTGGCTCCATCCACTCACCCCGCACCACACATGCCTGTTGACGCCTGCCCCCATCATGCCACCCTGAGCTACCACGCCAAAGGAGGCTCACCAAGATACCTTGTCAATGCTGCTCTCCAGTGGTGGCTCCTCTTGTTGCCTTGCCTGGGGTGGCAACTACTACTGCAGCTGACTCTCCAGTTTCTGCTCCCAGACCCAATCCAATTCCTGAGGGCAGGGGTGAGGGAGGGGGATTCAGCTGGATGAATTTTCCGAGGCTCTGCCCACTCACAGCACACTACTCACACCTTTAACTCATCCTAGGACTATTTAGACTCCTACATGTACCCCTTTGTTTTGCCTGTTATAAGTCTCTGTGTGTCTTACATGAGATCTGATGTGATGTGAAGAGAGGTTATGACCTCCTGTGCTGTTGATTCAGGTTGTGGTGTTTGCGAAGGCTCTCAACCAAAGTGAAATTAAAACCTCTGAAGGAAAGTTCCAGTGAATAATACGCAGCATATTGACATTCGGTCATTAAAATGATGACACACCAAAGAATTTTGTGTTATCACGCAGAAACACATGAAGGAAAGAAAAGAATGAAGATCATTAGGATTAAGGGATTAACGGTGATGGCTGAATACTGACTACACTGTCCTAAAGACATGAAAAGTAAGATATTCTGAATACATTTAGAATTTCTTTGTCAGTTTTCTTTATGTAATTATTCTGTTTCATGAAAAATCTGCCATCATTTAAATGAAGTTCTGAAAATTGTTAACATCTCATCGTCTGCTTTAGTCCACTGCTGCTCCAGAAACCCCCAGTCAGGACAACACAACACCCATATTAAACTTATTACCTGCAAACACATTCAACACTGAGGAGATTATTAGTTTGATCAGCCCTCAGTAACTCTGCAATTAATAACTGATTATCACACTGATTTTTCAGTCTACTCAGGCTTTAGCAGAGTTCAGTAACACTGAGATTAATAACTGATCAGCACATTGATTTATCAGTCTACTCAGTTTGTAAAGAAGCCGTCCATTGACTCTGTAGACGTAAATTAACTCTTTAGAGTTCGTCTAACAAGCATGTTTGCTATGTGCTGTTTGCTCATTCTAAAATGGTTATTAAATAGCATGGATGGTGTTTCTTTTAAAGATGGTGAACATTTTTTACATTTAGTGAGTAAGTATTCTAAAAGTATTCTCCTAAAACTGTAAAAAGTAACTGTGATCTGAAAACTGCCTTTACAAATGTAACTTGGACTGAATACATACACTTAAGTTATGTATTCTGGATATGTTTTCCCAATACTTATATTCCGTTACAGCCCAACACTGCCTGTAGGAGGCCTTTAGATCACATTAAGAAACCATCAGAGGCATCTGGAATCAGTCCAAAACTCCTGTCAAACCATCAGAATCCTTCATCCTGTGATATCAACCCATGAGGAAAACACTAAATATCATTAGGAACCAGCAGAACCTTTTAATGATTTCTATGAATTTTTTTCAGCAGGGTGAGGTTTAAAGGGCAGAACGGTCATTAGTGTCTAAATGTGTTCTTTGCTGCCCCCTGTTGTACCTTAATAACAAGTGGATGAAATTTGCTCCTTTTTTAAAAAATCTGAATAGTCAGATATATTGATGACTTTAACAGCTTTTTTGCTGGAACCTTTGTTAATGTATGAATATATTAATTGCTTATGAAGCGAGTGTGAAAACAATAACCATAACGGCGTAAAGTATGAAAGAGGTCATCTCAAACTTTATCATGTTATTATTTTTGTTTAGTTGTTTAGTGTGAAACACTCCGTTCTAGAGAAACTTATCGAGTCAGAATTGTTCACAGTGGTGGTGATAGGAACCAGACGTCCACCTCTAAAAGCTCCCTCACAGAAAGTTATTACATGAAATGGTTATGAATTCACTGCCTGATGTCTGAGACATTATTCTATGGCAGTTTTAAGAAGATTTTGGGTGGAGGGATACATGTAGGGTTCTGTGAGACAAAGAAAACTTATTATTTCAGATTTTCCACTATTTTTCCATCAGTGAACACACTAAACAATGAAACATCTGGTATTATATTTAGCTGTTGAGGACTCTGTGTCATCTTCTGTTAATTATGTTTTCTGTGTTTTTTTAGTCCTTTAGTCCTTAATGGCTGTTTGGACTGGAAATTAAATAAATGAAGGGGGTCTCTGACTTTTACACAGTGCTGTGATTGACAGCTGTCAGTCCAACACCGGCAGCAGAATCTCTCTCTTTCTCATCACTGTGTGGAATTGAGTTCAAAGCTTTGAGTCAACTCTCCAATGCATGTACTCAAGGAATCGATTCTTTTAGGGGATTGACTTCCAGTCCAGTAAGTAAAGGACTGGTTTGCAAAAAGAAGAAGAAGAAAAGAAAAGAAAGGGAAGCAGAAAAAGGTAAGAAAACACAGTAAATGTATCTATTGTTGGGGATTCATAGATCTGTAACTGTAATGCAGTAAAGTACAGCTGCAAATAACAGTGCATTCTGTGAGTCCTGCTTCAGATGAGGTTATTCTCCAGCAGGGATTTATTTTCTGAAATATATAACTTCTGAAGTTCCTTACCCAGTGAATGTAAGTGAAATACAGCCGCTGTTTTTGCTTTGGAAGATTACTATCGATACAAATCCCTGCTAGAAGAACCAACATATATTTTTATTGGATGCTGGGATGCTGGTCAGCCAGTATGACCATTCTGGGTGATTAGCTAAACCAAAACCAGACCAGGATGAAACCAGCATAGACCAGCATGGAATTCATACTGTTGTTTTCAGCAGGGATGACATCAAAATCTATGAAAACTGATTTGTTTAAGAGGAGCTCAGTATATCTGACTGCTCCATACAGCTCTATCCCCCTGAAACAGAAAGTCTGACCCAGAGATTTAGATTAACTAGGCTGATTTGTGTAATGTTTTACAGCCCTGCTTTTATATGTCAATCATTCAAAAAAAAAGTCTAAGTTTTGAGGATTTTGAGACCTCTCTGATGGAATTGTGTAATTGCATGCAACATGAAGAACATTCTGCAGCATAAGTTATGCTTCGCCCCCTTCCCCAAGTGGATGAATCATCAGGCCATCTGAGGATGTGAGTGAATGATCTACCATTGTCATCACATCTTCATCAGTATAATGTTGATTTTGAGATCATTTGAAACCTAAACATCGAGCCAGACTTTCTTTTTAAGTCTGTGTGTGACATTAATACGTAAAGACGTACGACATGGTGTGAAAAACTCAATGTCTCTGAGTTTTAAATGATTATTTCAGGCTTTACAGGATGACTTGCAGCAGCACACACTCACCATATTTTAGCCTGTTTTTATTCTCCTCACTCAGTAATGAGACTTCTTTCAGGTTTAACAAAAATATTATGATGTATATAATATCATAATATGAATGAATATAATGCAGCTTTAACTTATATGATTTATGAAATGTTCCACAGCAGTGTTTTTGTCTGTCAGTCATTTATTGACAAGATTTTGCACTAAAAGGCTGAAATTAGGAGGTTTTGGCTCTATTTCAGATATGCACACTGCCAATAACCACATATATTCAATTGTTTTAAACATTACTGGATTTGTGAAAACTTTCACAAACATAGTTCAGCTGTATCTTTTACAGCTCTGTTTCCATATAACAAGAAACTGATCTTGTAGAGAAATTAAAGCAGGCTTAAATCAACTCACCTGATCTGTGAAAATGTTCGCAACTATATTTGTGTCTGTTAGTCACTTATAAAAAAAAAAAGCTTTTGCACCATGTAGCTGACTAATAGTAGGTTTTTTATTTGCTTTAGAACAGTATTTTACATATACAGTAGCATGCAAAAGTTTGGGCAGCCCAAGAGATTTGAGCTCTCATAACTTTTACCAAGGTCTCAGATCTTAATGAGCTTGTTAAGGCTGAGGCTCGTTCTCAATCAGCATTAGGAAAGATCAGGTGATGCAAATTTCAGAGCTTTATAAACAGTCTGACTCCTCAAACCTCAAACCAACAATCAGCAGCCATGGGCTCTTCTAAGCAGCTGCCCAGCTCTCTGAAAATTAAAGTAATTGATGCCAACAAGGCAGGAGAAGACAGCAAGAAGATAGCAAAGAGTTCCAGGTAGCTGTTTCCTCAGTTCATAATGTAATTTAAAAATGGTTGTTAACAGGAACGAAGTTGAGGTGTGGAAAAACAAGAAAACTTTAGAGAGCTGCTCGTAGGATTGCTAGAAAGGAAAATCAAATCCTCTGCCTGACTGCAAAAGACCTTCAGAAAGATTGAGCAGACTCTGGAGTGGTGGTGCACTGTTCTACTGTGCAGCAACACCTGCACAAATATAATCTTCATTGGAGAGTCATCAGAAGAAAACCTTCCCTGCATCCTCACCACAAAATTTAGCCAGAAGTTTGCAAAGGAACATCTCAACAAGCCTCATCTCAGCAAGTCCTGTTGACTGATGAAGTTAAAATTTAACTGTTTAAGTAATTTAAATTTTAACTGTTTAAGTTAAAAAATTAAGTTAAAGTTTAGCCTCATGAGTAAAGGTATGTTTGGAGAAAAAAAGATTTTCATGAAAAGACTCCCCAACTCTGAAGCACAGGTGTGAATTGATCAGGCTTATGCTGCAGCCATTTCACTGGTAAAGGGAAGAACGGATCCAATTAAATACCAGCAAATTCTGGAAGCAACAGGATAATGATCCTAATCACACCTCAAAAAAAACAAAGGACTACATCGAGAGGTACATCAAAGTTTTTCCATGGTCCTCCGACCTAAACATCACTGAAAATCTGTGGCAACATTAAGGAAATTTATTGATAATGTACAAAAATTTTCAAAGTTTGTTTAAGTGATAGATGAAGTGAATCATCACTACTCATTGTGCTGCATGGCTTTAGCTGTGTGTATGTGTGAGTGACCTTGAATACAGAACAGGGGGTGTAGATTCTGTTTGTACCATAAAACATTAAAAATGTAATTGAAAAGCAAAAGAAGCACACATGTTGCAGAAATGTAATTGAAAAACACAGAAATGTAAAATAATAGATAAGGAAATAAAGCTCAAAGGCCAAGGCCTGAGTGTGGCCTCAGCCTGCAATCATTAAAAAAAAAAAATACATTACTTCTTGGCTTGTAATAAGGGAAGAATTTTTGATAAGAAAAAATTATGTTAGTAATGACGTGAATAATGTTTCTAATTGTGTTTTTTCATCTCAATCTAAAGTTTGGAAAGGGTGGTCAAGGTGACCATGACAACTGGAGTGCAAATGGTGTGCAAAAATTGGCCTAACTCAAGATTAACGCTTGTATGCTAGAGAGCCTTAATCTTCAATAAAAGAAATTGTTCCTTTTCCTGCCAGTCCTGGTGTTTTGAATTTTATTTTAATGTTGAGTTTGGGGCAAAGCTGCATGTATTTTCTTTTTCCACAACAAGCGCAAGCAAGATGGCCCAAAAATCTCACAGAACTAGAGGCCTTTCGCAAGGAAGAATGGGTCTTTTACTGGCTTAGCGATACACAGTAACAGAGATTTTAACCAGGACTGCTCAGACGTTTGCCTGCCTCTGTATAATCATAAACTCACTTGTTTTAGGCATCTGAATTCACAGATCAGCAAACAAATTTGCAGGAGTACGTTGCTGTATTACAGAGTTATATCTGACAGAATTCTGAATAAAGCTAAATTTACCATAACTTTATGT